AATGGGGATCTGAATTGAGATGATTAAAATATAGACCAAGGTAAAATGGGTCGGTCATTCAGGAGAGATTGAGAAAGAAGAACAGAAAGATCAGATATTATCTGCCAATAGATAGTAGAATAGACACTACCAATCTGCTGTCATAATGGTGAAGAATAAGAAAGAAGTCAAAATGACTACCAAATATGGGACTTCACCATATAGGCATGGAAAAAGAAGAAAGTTTAGTTGTGGGTAGAGAGAGGGAAAAGTGATTGAGCTTTGTAAATATGGGTTAGAAGCACAGGTAGGACATCCATGTAGAAAGACATACAACAGAGAAGAGTAGAAACATGGAATACAGAAATGAGTGTGTAACACTAGCAAATAACAAACCCAGAGTAATAATACAGGATTTCGTGTCACTACAAAATGCTTCGAATGAATTGAAGCTCTCTGCTCAGATCAAAGACATGACAGAAAAGCTGTTCTGGAAATCACTTGCCAATACAAATCCTAACCAAATATCAGGGTTCGGTGGGTGAGAATAGAGTCAGGAATAGAGACATCTTAACACTAAGAGGAGGGTGCTTAGCAAAGTCGAATTCTTTGTGGCAATGGGGAGAGAGCATTTCTCTCAGGGATTTTAGGGATTTGGTATCCAATTTTTCCTCACGTAGTATGTCAGTTTCTGTTACTATAACATATACTAAAGATAATCAGCTTCTGCAAGTTTCAGTCCATGGTTGCTTTAGGGTCTTTAGCAAGGCGGTATAGTATGGAAGGGGCATGTAACAGCAGAAATTACTTAAATCATGGAGACAGTAAGCAAAGAAGGAGAAGGGGCTAGAACTTGAGCACTTCCTCTAATGGCCCCCCAGCTGTGATCTAACCTCCTCCCACTAAGCTCCATTGTTAAGGCTCAGGACCAAGTCATTAAGTCATTAGCATGAGGCCTTTGGGGGACATTCTAGATCCAAACGCATGCACATAGTGACTGAGTGACTGCTTTAAAATGTCTTAACATTCCCATTTAGATTTTCTATTTCTCCTTGAAATGAAAATCTTTAATCATAGAAACGATCAAGTGGGCTTAGAATTCAGACTAAAATATATTGTAAGCTATTTTATGATAACTAATACTAAGTTATAATCTTATTGTTCCCTGGAAATTTCTGTTTTATCTCAATTGAGCCTGAGTGCAAAAGTATGGAAGGAGCTATATGTTTACAACACCTATTCACAAAGACAAAGACGTAGATGGCATATATCCACTAACTGCAGGAAGTCTCACTCCTCTTCTGTTTGAAATAAAATTGTCACTTGGTTAAGAATCCTTTCTTGTTTTCCAAATTTGTTCTCACATTCTATTTGGCATATAGTGGGACCCCCAAATAGAGATCTATCTATTTAATCTATATTTTAGCATCACTAATTTTATGGAGTCATAGTCAAAGGTTCGTGTGTGCTCTGTGGAATCAATCCCAATCTTCCAAACAAGCAGAGATCAGAGGCAAATTATTCAAATGTTTGCTGCAGTAAACCCGAGTATTCCAATTTCATCTGATTACCTCTGTGCTTTTAGTTGGGTCATTCAAATTTCTGGTTCAAAGGCATAGCTCTTACCATCTTGCAAAGTTGTTTTGTTGAGTGATTTTAATCTTGAGTTCCTATTTCACTTCCCATTTGAGACTTTAATACTGTTTCCACAGTGACAAGCCTCTGTTAATCATGGCCCTGGGAATTGAGCTCTCAAGAGTTTACACAACCCCCTTGTCTCTCAGTTCCCAGGCTTGATTGCAGCTCCAAATCCTGCCCTTGGGGACCAGAGACAGTGCCTGCCTACTCAGCCTGCCTGACAAACACTGTGGGCAAGCCAGAACTCAGGAACTCCTCACCAGTGTTTCAGAAACGCTAACTGAGGTTTCTACCTTTAGTTATGCAGAGGACAGAAGTAAATAGCTGTGATATAGTCTCTGAGATCTAGCAACAGCTTCCATATGCTGGCAGTGTAGATGGAGGCTTCAGTGTAAAGGAAGTCTCTGTTATAGAGAGCTATCAGGTAGACTAGGTTTCAGTGGGTAGATAAAGGAATTGTGCTTAAAACTATAAACTAACTATAAACTGAAAACCATCCTGGTATCTAAATCTCACAGGTCCTTGAAGGCTTAGCTCAAGTTTTGCTTTCTATATTAAATTGTTACTGACATATGGGAAGCAACTTTAAGCTATTAAAACCACAGCAAATGATATACAAACACTTATAGATCATTAGATGAGCTTTGCATATTTAATTTTTTAAATTATGTATATATGTGTGGATTCGCGTCAGAGTATACAAACATGAGTGTGGTGCACACCGAGGCCAGAAGAGGGCATCCAGTTCCCTGAAGTCACAGGTGATTTGACTTGGATGCTAGGAACCAAACTTGGGTCTTTCACAAAAGCAGTACATGACTTTAACTGTTGTGCCATCTCTTCAGCTGCCATTAGATGATTTTTGTGCCATATAGGGTTACTTTCTGAAAGAAGAGGGTCACAGCTTATTAAAACAGAGGACATGAACCCGGAGTCCTGTAGAAACTGTAGTGACAAGGTGGGGAGAGAAGGCTCAAGGGAAAAATCCTTTTCAACTGTGTCTGTGCTCTTCAACCTCTCACTAAAGTTTACCAGGGCACTGACATTACCTTAACCTAGAATGAACCCAAGATTGCACACCACCTTGAAATAAAAGTATTTCATCAGTGGCCCTGTCTGACCGTCCAAACAGCTCTCCAAGAGCAGCTCTTCTCAGGGGTGAATATCCAGTACTCAACTGACGCTACGGTTTTCATAGACTTAAAGCCAGAGAAACATGTAAAAGCATTGAGATTCTTAGCTAATTCTCTGGCTAAAAGCTAGCAATTTCTTTTCTAAGAATTCTGACTTGGTCCCTATTTGTAGTTTAATTTTGTCTCCTCGAGATTCTTACGTTGGAATTCTAACTCCCTGATACCAAGGATATGACTTTATTTAGAAGCAGAGTCATGGCTGGTATAATTCACTGAAGTCATACAAGAGTAGGGAAGGTTCCTGATTCAATATGATCAGCCTTTATAGAAGGGGAAATTGGGACACAGAAGACAACCATGTGATGCTACAAGCAAAGACTTAAGCTGCAGGGCAAGCAATACCAAAAATTGCCCCAAACAATGGAAGCTAAAAGACATTTGTAAGATTCTCCCCTGGAGATAAGTGAGGGAATATGGCTCCACTGATACTTTGACACAAAATTTTATCTCTACAACCCTAAGACAATACATTTCTGTTGTTTTATAATAGGCAACAATAATGAATGAATATTTTGAAAGTGTTGCTGATGGTGTTTGATACAGCTTTTCAGCCAATTTCTGATGAAATTCCCCCTTTTGCCTTCCCCAGAAGCAAGTGAGTGCCTGTTGCCAGGCAGAATCTTTCGATGCCTCTACCTTGCTTTGAACTTGTGTTTGCTCACCTCCATAACAAGACAGAGCTTCCCCAACCCTGTGTAGGCATTAAAATACCCTTAGGTGGGGATGCAGTCTAGCCTACCATTTTGACCAGAAACCATTAAACCCGTTTTGTATTCCCAAATTGCTAATGTCCCCATTCCTGTCACACTGAGCATTTTGCCATTTCTAATAATTTACCTTCCGCAAAGTTTGTATATAAGTAATATATTATTTCCTAGCAGGTCTACAAATTCTCAAAGCAATATCATTCCATGGTTCACATTTTAAAGTAAGCTGAGAGTCCCAGTTTAGAGAGTCCTTATACTAGAGTAGATTATAGATGAAGAGCAATCTCTTCAAGAGGTGAATGAGAAGAACCATCCAACAGTTAGTTATCCATAACCTACTCTACTCAAAGCAGTGAACTCAACAATAATATAATACATGAAATACATACGATTCAGTTTCCCTTTCATAGAAGTATCTTCCTTGAATCACTGTGAGGCAGGTTATTTAAAGGTCTCTCTCTCTCTCTCTCTCTCTCTCTCTCTCTCTCTCTCTCGCTCTCTCTCTCTCTCTCTCTCTCTCTCTCGCTCTCTCTCTCTCTCTCTCTCTCTCTCTCGCTCTCTCTCTCTCTCTCTCTCTCTCTCTCTGTGTGTGTGTGTGTGTGTGTGTGTGTGTGCGCGCGCGCGCGCGCACGCGTGCATGCGCGTGCACCACTTTTGTGTAGGTTCCTAGGAAGGCCAGAAAGTAATGTGGAGCTGGAGTTATAGGTAGTTGTGAGCTGCTGATACAGATGCTAGAAACCAAGTCAGGACCTCTGCAAATGCCCAAAGTGCTTTTACCGACTGAGCCAACTCTCCAACCTCATGATACAGTTTGGAAAATAGTAAATTCCTCCCTGCTTTAAGTACAGTGATAGCGCTGCTGGCTTAGGCTATATTACTACTATCACAATGTAATTTGTAATTGTGGAGCATTTTACTGTTTAGATTTGTCACAAGTGTTTTCCTAAACAATGAATGAGCACTGTCTACCTTATGGCTTCTCCACCAGAGTAAATAATACTACACCTCAATTTGTTTGCCTGGCACTGGCATCAGATCACTATATAGGGACTCTGCCTGCTCAAGCCTTATGGAATTCACATAGCATCCTTCTCCATGACTGTGTGTGAACATGAATTAAATATGACTTTTGACTTGGATAATTTAAAAAGGCTTAGCCACAGACATCATTCTGCCGTCTAAAAGGAGAACAAAATAGATTAAGCCATATTGCAATGGAATTCTTTTTTAAATGGCCATTTCACTTGTGTTTTTAAATACTAGATGAATTGCTTTATTACATAATTTGCCATATTTTAACTAATACCACTTAAAAATTTTCACATGGTCTATGTCTATGATTTTATTTGTATCAAAATTAGCACCCAGAATGTGAACTTACAAGAACCCCCAAACTGCTGTAGCCAGTTATTGGTGACGAACTGGCTGTTCAAAGTGCAATATTCACTTGAGTTTGTATTTCTTTTCTGTCTTTGCTTTCCAGACACTGCAAATGGATATAAACAAGCTGAACATAACCTTGCTTCGGATCTTCCGCCAAGGAGTGGCTGCAGCCTTGGGACTCTTACCCCAACAAGTGCACATCAACCATCTCATTGTAAGATGCTATCTTTCACATTCTCAGAATCCCACCTGACTTTCCATCATTAAAGGCTCCATGACTGACAAGCCAAATCTACCACATCACCTATTTTTGTAGATAAAGTTTTATTGAGGCATGCCATGTCCACTGGTCCACACGTCACGTGTGACTGTTTTCATGCTTACAATGGTGAGCTAAGTGATTATAGCAAACAGACTGACCCATAAAGCCTAAACAGTTGATTGTCTAGCCCTTTACAGAAAATAGTTATCAGCCTTGTTACAATTGAATCATAGCTCCCCTGACAGGTGTGAATAAAGGACCAGATTACCTGCTCCAGCAACCTAACCCAACTCCCAATGTATTGTCCAGGAGAGTGGAATCTTGTGTATCAGGATCCAGACCCTGTTTGCTAAAGCCCCTTCAATATTATCAATAGGATGGATGATGAATGCACAAAACAAAAAATTAGGTATGAATAAAAAAGAGGTGCTCCTCACAGCAGTAGCTCACATGGAATGCCAAGAAAAAGCTTAGATTGGCATCTGAGGTAGGGGTGAGGAAAACCTAAGGGACCAAGAGATCCACTGTGTAGGAATGACTCTAGACCTAGCAGTCACCCACATTCATTCTTAACCCCATTTTCTCTGTGTGTGAAAACATGGATGTCATGTGCTACTCGTTCTCACTTACATTTGAAGATTGGTTAAGCCATGTGGATCAAATGAGCAATTTAAAATCAGATGGTTTTTACTTTTCTTTGTAAAAAGCTAGCTAAGGCTCACATGACAGAGTCTTTGGTGGGTCCCTATAGAGATAGCTCCCCAGGTAAGAGCACTTACTGCTCTTGTATAAGATCTGGGCTTGGTTCCTAGCCCTCACATGGCAGCTCACAACTACTTAGAACTCCAGTTCTAGGATATTCAGTGTGGTCTTCTGACCTCCACAGGCTCCTACACACACATACACAAGACAGATATACACACATGCACATATATGCATACACATGTACACATATATGTACACACACACACACACACACATATATATATATATATATATAGAGAGAGAGAGAGAAGGATTTTTCATATTGCTTTAAAATCTTTCTTTATTCCTAGTTTATTGGGAACCCAAACAAGGACTAAACAAATGCTTTCATTGCGTTAAATTTTATGCCTTGTTCAAAGTCAGCTTTCTGCTCTATTTGGGTATCTACATCTGTATTCTCAGATTTGCACAGAATTTATGTTTATTTTTATTTTTCGTGGGTAAATGTTGAGTTGTTTCAGTTCCCACCAAAAAATTATTCTGAATTAACAATTTCCTGAGTTTTAATAAGTGTTTTAAAAGCTGTAGCACAGAAGAGAAAATACAACATTCTTAAATGTCCTTTAAGAATAAATATTGCCAATTGTGAGAGAGTGAGAGACATTGAAGGCCTCTGTGACACCCCTCAATCCATAAGAAATAGTCTAAACAGGAAGCCACTGAAAGGGGTCCTTAAAAATTGGGGTGCTGAAGTGTAGCTCCTGGATGTTGACACCTCTGGTGGTGAGGGTCAGGGAGACCTCAGTTATCTTTAAGAGGCTGGACACTGGGAGTTTGACCATGTTCAAATGAGTATATGAACAATGCAAATTGGACTTGGTTTCTTTTGTCGTTTTCTAGTTTTGGAGGGAGGGCACAATGATGGGAGGGTGGACTTGGTAGGAATGGGAAGTGGGTGTGGTTGGAGTACATTGTGTGAAATTCCCAAATATTCAATAGAAATACTATGTTGGGAAAAAAAGAGTAAGCATTGTGCTGGGCATAATGGTGACCACCTATAAGTCTGGTAGTTAAAAGGTAGAGGCAGGAGGACTTTGAGTTTGATAACAGACTGGGATACACAAAGGAGTTCCAAACTAGGCTGAGATACCTAGAGAGACCTAGTCTCAAAAAAATTGAAAACTGAAGTCAGTTATTATGTTCAGGACATCTAGTTCATGTGCATGGGTGTTATAGACATCTTGGTTCTAGATCTAGATTTAATAAGTGTATCATAACCAAGAGTAGAATTTAAAAGTTTGTCAATTTTAAGGTCAAAAGAATGAGGAAAAAAATGTCGAGGCTCATCTGGTCCTCCTCCTTGACCAGTCCAGCCTACATTCATGCAGTCAGTTGATGAGGAAAGATGAAGCAAGGTTGCGCCTGATGGTTGATACTTACATCGGGTTTTATCTAATTCATTTGGCTTCAAAATGTGCCTTTAAGTGTAAGTATTTAGGAAGCATCTGAGAATTATATGCTAAGTCAACACACACCTATAATTCTAGTACTTAGGAGACTGAGACAGGAGGATGCAGAGATCAGGGTCAGCCTCTATTGCATTTGGGTAGACTCTGAAGTTAACAAAGGCAAACAATTAATTAAAATATGAAACCAAAAATGAAATATCATCAAGTGAAATATAAAATTTCACATTCTGGAGTGCTAACCATCTAAAGTAAGGCAATTTGACAATATTGTACTTCAGACTGGTGACAGTAATTCTGGGAGTGATTAATCGAGTCACAGCATTAACTAGCATGACTTCAAAGATTCTAGGAACCTGACTTTAATGTCTGTATTGTAATAACAGGTGAACATTTCGTTCATCTTTCCCAATTGTCTTTAACATACCCCAATGGCATGCTTCCACTAGGAGAAGAAGCACCATGTGGAGTTGTTTGTGTCCCCTGTAAACCGGAAACCAGGAGAGCCACAGGCCCTGCAGGCTGAGGAAGTGCTACGTTCGCTTAATGTCGATGTCTTGCATCAGAGTTTACCACAGTTTGGAATTACAGACATCTCCCCTGAGGTATGGCATTGCATGGATCAGTTCATTAAAATAATAATAATAATAATAATAATAATAATAATAATAATAATATGCAGTTATCTTGATTTGCTAATCCAACCCACAAAGCTTTGAGATGAAAGCCCTTAGTTGTGTGTAGATTTTAAACCAGCAGTATCCCTAAAGGTCAAAATCTGGTGTGCTTCAGAGTTTGTGTGTTTTTGCTTAAGTAAATTCACCTTTCATGGTGAAGTTTCATTATTTGACACTTGATTCTTGAAATCTCTGTGACCTTGTAATTATTTATTTTATTTTTCATTTAACTGTCTACAAAAAAAGACCAGCTACATAGTTTTGTAAGTTGGTCATGTGAAACTGATTTGTGAAAAAACAAATAAGCAAACAAACAAAACAACCCCTCCCCCAAACTCCACTCTGGACTTTGTTCCTCAATAAATCAAACCTTCATCATCACTTTCATTGTCAAAATAGTCACAAATATTCATTTCCCCCATGGTTTGGAATTATGTGAAGTATGCTTTTTTCCTATATGTAAGAACTCTGCATATTTTCTTCATGGTATTTTCTAAATTTGACACTAAAAATGGTTCTCTACCATCCTTTCCATTTTCCCTACAGAGTGACTAATCCCTCCATCTCTCCTGTCAAAATCAAATTCATCAGAAAGACTAGCACTCTAAATAAATGCAAATCCAATTCACAAATCCATAGAATTTGGCTTTGAGGGAAAGCATATATACACAGAAGGTCTGGGTACAGAGAAATTAAGCAACTGCCTCAGAGTGATTCAAGAGTGAAGTGTAAACCAACACTCACATGTGCTAGGTCCTGGGTTCAAACTCCAGTACAGGAAGAAAAAGAAGAGGGAAGGAGGAGAAAAGAAGTGAGACAGGGAGGGAGAGACATGGAGACAGAGTCTAGACAAGACATGTTAATATACCCCCAAGGTACCAGATACCAGCATTCAGGGAGGCAGAAGTCAGAGAATTCTGAGTTCAAAGTCAGATCAGCCTACATAGAGTTCCTGGCCAACCTGAGCTACAGATTTTCAAACAAAAAATAAATCTGTATTCTATGCTTATTTTATTCCTCTTTCTGGTAAACCCCATCCATTGCCTTTCATTTCAGCTAATACCATAGGGAATATATATATATATATATATATATATATTCACAACCGTTTGAATCTTGCTAGGACAATTTTGCTCTATGAGGATAGTGTCAAGCCTTTGCATAGTGTCAACCACCCGGAGCCTCAGTTTCTTCACATTCAAGTGAACATACAGTCCTTATCTAATGGACTTGACATAGGGATAAAAATTTTTAAATATGTGTGAAAATCCTCAGTTTTTGTGTGTACCAAACAAATGTGATTTGAATATAGATGACATAAAATTTAGACTATGCAGTCCTTTGGTGTACTCAGTAGATTGGGTCCTGGGCACCAATGTATACCAAAATCTTTAGACATTCAAATTTCCTATGTAAAGTTATAGCTGCATGTACCCTATGAACATGTTCCTATATGCATCAAACCTTCACTAACTACTTATAATACATAATGTAACTGAAACTCATAGGGTTGCTTTAGTGATTGGGTAATAGCAGCCAGAAACTGTACCGATGGACTGAAGATGAATTTTCATCACTAATATTTTCTATCAATAGTTGGCTGAATTTGTGGGTGCAAAAGCCATAGACAGGAGGACAAAACTATATATAACTACTGAACCAAGACAGTCACCCTTTTACTTACAGTCCTTCCCACTGACTTTGGTTTTGTTGCGTACCCTGCCCCTCTCCCTCCTGCCCAAACTTTGGTTTCAAAATACAACAGAATGAGGTCCACATTTCTTAGTATGGTATATGGTCCTCCACATGCTGGGCTTTGTAGCTGCTGAGTGGCTCCTCAGGTTATGTTAGAGCAATTCTAAATTTCTTAGCTACCATGACCCCCAATCCCATTCCTCCATGCTTGCACTCTGGTCTTTCTACACACCTTTCTGCTTCATCAGCCTGTTTGATGGCACAGCCTTCCATTGCTGCTTCAAGAACTCAGGAGCTTGTTGCATCCCCACAGAGTGTAGAGCAGAAACCCATTCTGCTCTGTGTGTCTTCAAGGCTGTCTCTGCACTGTAGGCTCCTCGATGGAACATGCCATTCATGTTGTCGCTGTCTTCATTTCATTCAGCAGTGAAATGGACAGAATATGAAAAGCTGAGTCAATGAGTAGCCAAATGCTGTGCTGAGCCCTGCCCAAATTTAGGAAAACAAATAAACAGACCAAGAAATATGGAACTGGAGTCTCACATTAATTGAACTATGCCCACAGATAGCAAATCGATACAAGCTGACCACTTTAGATTGTAAAGATCACAAGAATGCAAAGGCCGCTCTTCTAACACAACTAATAAAATTTGTATTTTAGTTCAGAAAATATAAAGTTCACAACATCTGTTTTCATATGGCAACAAGATAAACATTAAAATAAGCACAAGATAAGAGTGTGTTTTTTAAAATTCAAGTACTTGGGTGGGCAGGAGAATCTTCACTATAGTGAAGGAGTAGCCTACATCGACCACACATCAGAAAGCTATTGGGCCACAGTAGATGACAAAGCCTGTCCTGAACTTAACAAGTGTATTTAGTAACCAAAATATGATATGTTCTCATAAATTAGTTGGAATCTAAAAAAAAAATCTAAGAACTGTATAATCTGTGATATATTCAGTATAAGAGCTTATCAAGTGTTTGAATTGACTGTAAGGGGTCTATTTGAACCTTTTGTTCAGAGGCTCTAGAAGGCTCAGTCCTGAAACTCTAAATGTAATGAGGAGAAAGCCAAGGAAGACAGTGTCTACAGTGTGCAGGTACCCAGGGCTGTTTTACATTCAGCAGGAGGGACTCTGCAGACATGATGGAGAACAGTCGTGTAAAGCTACCCAGCTCTTCTCTAAGTTCTCCCATGTCTTTATTCTTCTCCCCGCAGTTAAGGTTTTATAACAGTTTGTGTCTCAACACTGTCTTACCTTGTAATCCTCAAAATATATCTTACTATGGTAGAGTAGCCATTAATGGATGGGGGAGGGGAGAAATACTACAACACATCTATTTGCAGGAGCATTTCACAATGATGCTTCAAAGCATCTATTCCTAAATCGATGTTAATTATTTTCATGGAACAATGAGTTTTTGCTGCTCTTTATGTTCCTGGATTGTTTGTTTGTTTGTTTGTTTGTTTGTTTTGATGAATGACTCAGAAACTAAAGAACAATTCCAGAGAATTAATTCTGTAAATCATGTGTTTCCAATCTGGGTTTCCTGAAGGAAAGAAATCTTTTCTTTCTTTTCTGGAGTGAAGGTCTTTAACACGGGGCATCACTCTGTAGCTAGCTGCCCTAGAATTTACAATAGCCTAGGGCTCTCGATAATCCTCCTGCCTCAGGCTTCCCTGCACTTCGACTACAGATGTGCACCATCACATTATTCCTGTTATGTATGTGGTATGTGGTACCTGGACAGTTATAAGCACATATTGTTTTATTATAAGATGCCCATAAAGAAGAAAAAAAAAAAAAACCTTCCTTTTGCCCCATAAGTTCCAGAGAAACAAAATTAAATTCACTCTTCTAGTTTTACTGGTAATTTCCACCACCCCCCAGAATTGTTACCTAATTATTGAAACATTATGTTCCACATTAATACTGAACAAGTTATTTAGGTTTTTATTTTCATTCATTTGCACGTTACTCCAGTTTCCTAACTACTGGATCTTCTTTAAGTAACAGGCTGATGAATTGGCTGGTACTTGATGGGATATTCACAAAGAGAAAATTCATACTGTATAAAATATGAAGCATAATTTGTGAGTTGGGTGACTGTTCCTTCAAACTCAGAATATTAGCCAGCCAGCAAGTGTAAAGAGTTCCACACTAGGCACACAGGCTGAGGGCATATAGCATCGGTGTTAAAACGCTACATCATGAGGATCAAGTGCTTGCATTGTGTATAATGCAATTGAAATCTGGTGCTTACACAACCAAGCCATACGGTTGTGAGGTGCATCTTATTAATCTGCCCTCAACAAATGAACCAGGCTATTTATAACATTTCCATTTCATTCTTTGGTTTTCATTGCCCCCAATAAGGTGTGCCTCCTGAAGTCTCTGCATCAGTACCATCTTCCATGATATTAGGAATTGGAAAGAAAATGGAAAAGAAGAAAGAATTAAAGAGTGAAAAGGGGGAGATGGTGGAGTGGAAGGCAGAAACTACTACAAGATATAAAGTTACAGAATGCCTAGGGAGGCCATCATCATACATAATGGAAACATCTCCGTTTTTCAATAACAAAAATACCAGCTTCTTTCACTGCACCTAAGTTAAAGGGTAGGGCAACACAGCTATGACATATGCCATAAAGATGTTATAGTAGCATTAACTTGACCTGACCTGGGAGTCTGTGAATTATTGAACCCTCAGTCCTTGACACAATCTAAAGGCCACTGGGTTCACCCTATGCAAAGGCTAAGATGGGAGATTATTGTGGATTGCAATCTTTGATGTGTGGGCTCTTGACTGCAAACTTTTCCTTTATTACCCGGCCCTTATTGAGCTGTTTAGATCTCAGAACAGATATAGCATTGCTCAGCAGGGGCAGTGTGACTCAGAAGGAAATCTATTTACCAAGAATGTGCAGTGACTAAGTTCCAGTTCAAAACAAGAGCCTTTAAAAAAAAAATCTGGGGGTGGGGTATGGGAGGGTGCAGGATAATTCTTCCATCGTCATTGTTCACTTAAAAAAAATCAAAACAGGTCTGTCTTCCAAAGAAAGGAGCATGTTTATACTCTTGAGAACTGTGGAGCTACAGAAGGAAAATGGACCCAACCAGATGGGAAACACAACACTTTCCACTTTGCTAACCACTCCTTTTTTTCAAGTTTTACATGACTTTAAGCTCAAATCCTTTTACTTAAATTTGACAAATTCATGCTGCCTGTGTGAAGCCTTAACTAGTTTGCTTTTATAGAAAACAATGGATGCCATTTAGTTGCCTGAAAAAAACTAATTCAATTCTGTTCGCGATTCCTACAATAGTTTTCTTTTCTATTAGCTTCTAGCTGTGTTTATAGAGAAACTAGAGCAAAAAAAGAAAGAAAGAAAGAAATGGCCTAGCTGTTTTCAAAGAAGTGAAAGAAAATTGTCACTGGAACCCAGAATTCCCAGCAGGGTCCTGACTCACTAATCACCTCACCGAATCAAGTACTAACAGATTCTCTATTAATCAAAATACATACCTAAATAATTTCCTTTATCCACCCACCTGTCTAGAAAAGTAAAAAGGTTGTATTGTGGTGATATATTATTAATGATTTATTAAAGCTTGTCTGAAGATCAGAAAAGCAAAGCCAGCCACAAGCTATAGAGATCAGATGGTGGTGATGCACACCTTTAATCCCACTATATCAGTCTCTGGATTTTTTATTTATCGTGTTGCATTGTATCATGAGTACATAAATAAGTCTCTCCCCAAATGGTTTGTGTCATCATAAATGAACTCAAAAGTTTTCTTGCTCATCATTCTATTAAAACTTGATTGAGTGCAGAGATTAAAATTTCCATAAAGTCATTTTCAAGGTTAATATTTTTAGTTTAATTTGCAAAAGTTAGATATGCTTTCTTAACCTTAGAAATAACTAGAAATGATCTCAAAATTTAGGCACCTAGAATATAGGTTTAATTTGAGAATATAGGTTTAATTTGAGAATATAGGTTTAATTTGAGGCTTCCTTTGTCTTTGTAGTTAATAGTAAAAGATTGTAAGTCTTAAAAGTGAGTGGGAACATTTTGCTTGATACAGACTTAACATTTTTCCTACTCAGATACCACCTAGTTTTTTTTTTCAGGGTAAAATAAAATCTACAATATCATTAGCATATAAAATATTCTCATATTTAGGCATGGTAGTCCATGACTGTGACCTAGCACCTAGGGAATTGCCATGAGTTCAAGGACAGCCTTAGCTACAGAAGGAGAGAATCTGTCTAAGATAGAAAACAAAAGTTTAGAGCATCCATTGATGTACTGTCCTGTTTTGAAGAGTGAGTAACATAGAACCAAGAGCTACTTCTTCTCTACCTCCACTCCCAAAGCAAGGAGCAAAAGCAATAAAAATTAAAATAATCCTATTTATTTACCATTTATTACTAAGTAATTCTGACCTGGTGGGTGTTCCCTGTTCCTTTAAATAAAACATAATATCCTGGCAATTTCTATGTGGGATGGTTGCGTGAGTCAGGTTTTGACAAAGTAAGTTCCATTTAAAGGGGAAAATGATATGATAAAAGGAAGAAGAAAACAAAACAGAATGGTCCCAACGTCGTGGCTCGTTTGCTAAACCATCAGGAGCTTTCTGTTTGCACCTGTTTCACTTTTGTTTGAAAGTAAAGAGCGGTGTGGACGTGGGAGGGGACTCGGAGTACAGAGAGCTTCAGAAACAATTCCTCCTCGGCACAGAAAAGCACAGAGCTTGCCTACCTGTGAACCAGGTAGTTTCCAAGAGAGGCAGTGCAGTACGTGGAGGAAGGCAAGAACCCAGGAATCTGTCCCACATGTCTACCCCCTCCCTCACAGGATCTTCCGACATAGAGGATGGCTGTCCTGTGCCTGAACAGATAGAGAAACGGCTGTGGCAGTGGGGGGTAGAGGTGTGTTTTACTACACTGAATGAAATCAAGCTAAAATATGTTGATGGTCTGACAAGAACGCTGGTTTCCTCAAGCTCTCCTTTAACACCGGGCTTTCTGTTTTGCTTTTTAAAGAAAAATGTTTTACAAGGGCAGCACGAAGCGGACAAAATCTGGAGCAAAGAAGGATTTTACGCTGTTGTCATTTTTCTCAGCATCTTTGTTATTATAGTAACCTGTTTGATGGTAAGTTTGCTTCTTTGTGTGTCTAATCCTTTGGGGATCCCACTGCTTAATAATATTAGATATCTTGACACTTGAATGAATGTTGAAAAGACCGGGGACAGAAGCCAGCCTATAATCTTGTTAGCATGGGACTGTTCTGTGGCAGCAGATGACTGACGGATGGCTGAGACTGTGTGTGATGTGTGGATGCTGACCTCTATAGTGAGACTAGACTGCACTGAAGTGTTCAGGATCTAGACCAGCCCTATGTGAAGATTTAGAAGGTGATTTACTGAGGTCACTGTAGCCCTTAATGTAACTGAAGTCTCATGTGCACACTTAGGGCTGGCTCTAGTTCTTCTCTTATGTCCCCTTTAGGAAGCATAGAAAAAAAAATTTAAAGAAGTATGTCTTTGGCACAAAGCTTTCTCCCAAGGGAAGGGTTTATTTCCTTTTTCAAATGTCCTTGAAGGCATTCTAAGAAACATCAGGCATTAATGGAAGTGATTATAGCCTTGAAGGTAACCCACTCACTGCTACCTCATTTCCAGTTGAATGCATAATATATAAGAATGAAAGTATGCACTGCAATTGTTCTACAGGTCACAATATATAACCAATAAGGCATAGTCCTAATTCTTAAAAGCCAAACCCAAAATAAACCCAACCCACTAAATTAGACCAGGCTCTGGTATTGAATTTGGTATGGAATGTATTAATAGTTATCTTTCAAATAGAATGAGGTGGGGTTGTAGGTTTTTTTGTATTATTCTTTTGAAATTTTGTGATGGAGCATGGTATTCGGAGTTTACAAATGGGTTTAATATCTTTTCTTGTATGTTATATTCTTTTTATTTTGCATATTTCAGGAAATATTTCCTCTTTTGTTTTACACATCCCCCCAAAAAGATATAATGCTAATGATTTTATCTACAATCAAGTGTGTTGCCAAGCCTTCTGTTGTATTTTATTTATTTGTGTCCCTGCTTCCGGAAATGGATTTATCTCAGAAAGATTGAGAATCAGTCTAGAAATAAAGAGAGGCTCGGTGGACCTGAACTGGAGGGATATGAATAAGGTCATAAATGGAATAAAAAAAGGCACACTTCTGAGATCTCAAAATACAGGACATAGCAAGAACAACCTAAAACCCCTGTTATAATGGATTCAAAGATATGACCTTTTGGATCAGAAATTGAGCTTCAAGATAATTGTGACCCAGTAATCAAAACAATAATTAAGAACTAAGTTTAAAATGGATTTTATATCTTAAGTGATAAATATTAAGGAAAAGAATTTTGGTGGAAAAGATGGAAAGTTTTATAGAGACTTCCAACTACTGGCATGAAGGGTGTAGTTCCTTCTCATGGATAACTGCACTTTAACATATGTGATTCTTTTTTCCTTATCCCAGCAAATCTCAAGTTCTGTTCTCTGTCTTGTCAGTCATAATTGGAATTATTTCCATTTCACAGATTCAAGGGAATGGAGGAGCTGGAACTGTGGCTCAGTAGAACATTTGCTTAGAGCTGGAACTGTGGCTCAGCAGAACACTTGCTTAGAGCTTTCGAGTCCATGTGTTCAATCCCCATCACTGTAGTGAGAAAACAGAAGAATTAAAGGAGAGTGAGGAAAAGAGCAGAAATGATAAAAGCTGAGGATTTTCAGATTATTGATGAGTAAGATTCAGAAAAACAAAGAGTGAGAAGAGGATTCTGGGAAGTCAGAACACAGACAGACTTTGAGGAAAGAGAAGAAAAGGGGTGGAGTTTATGTTGACATGTAAAGCGTGTTTCAGGTTCAGTGACTGTAACTCGGTAATGTCCAGATATCCCACATGACTGGGTACAACCATGCACTGGTCTCATACTAAAGGGCCTGTGGTGGCCACACCCTCAACCTCCTGGGTGCAAAGCCAACTCTTCTTTCCCAATATTGACAAAACGTCAGTGTAAATGTCTTAAACCTGAATAAACCTGTTACAGTGTTACTAGGAGAAATCAAGAAAGGAATGCTTCAAACGTAAGTATGACTGCTGTGGGATTTGTTGCAGATTCATTCACTCATTCAAGCAATGTGTCCGTAGGCAACATATTCATTCATGCTGAGGGTCTACTGCAGGAAAGGGGAGGATAGGGCACATAAAGTCACTGTTCTCTGGAGCTTTAACGATGGGAAGAAACACAGACAAAGATCAACATCTTTTAAAATATCAAATAGTGAAATGCTATATGGCTTCATCTGTACAACATCCTGAGAAAAACAAAATTATAAAGATACTGAAAGGATCCCTGGATGTCAAGTCATGGTGGATGGGGGAGGTTGTTGCAGGGAGGCTATAGGTTTTATGACAATGAACTTGTGTATTCTGATGACCTAATGGCATTATGAGTTCATCAAAAGTGTAAAATATAGATCACTAACAGTGACTTCATTTACACTGTGGGGACGAGTCAATAGTAATAATATATCAATACTAGTTCATCCATTATAACAAATGTAAAAAAATTAAGTAAATAAATAAATAAAAATTAAAAAATGCTTTAGCCAGGCATGGTGGCACGCACCTTTAATCCCAGCACTCTGGGAGGCAGAGGCAGCTGGATCTCTATGAGTTCGAGGCTAGCCTGGTCTACCAAGGGAGTTCTAGAACATCCAGAGCTACACAGAGAAATCCTGTCTCAAAAAATTAAAAAATTAAAAATATATAACAAATGTACTATACCAACTAAAGATATTTATGAAACAGACATATATAAGAACTCGGTATTTTCTACTCAATTTTTCCATAAACATAAAAAGTCTTATCAATTCTTCGTTAAGTATTAAATTGTAATAAGGACCACAAAGAAGATAGCACGATAGTTAGTAATGAGGCAGAACAGTCAGACATTTGGAAGATACAAACATGGGTGTGACCATGTCCGGGAGAGAGCACAGCCGCAGAATGGTGACAGGGTGAAACAACTTTAGAATGTCAGGTTCAAGGGAAAAAATGGAAAAGCATCCATGCAGGTTATGTGAGTGTATTGAAAAGACTGGTTCCTGCTTAGTAAAGTGATTGGGGTAGAAGGGCGTGTGAAGGATGAGGACAGGTAGATGCTTCCACGGTTCTTACGACAAAGATGACGATGGTGAACTGGAATGGGGGAAGATGGAGATGAGGAGGTGTAAAAGATGGAGAGCTATGTGATGGTAGAAGGAGAAGGACTTACAGGGTCCTGGTGATCAGGAGGAGGGAAAATACTGAGAATGTCCCTGTGTCATCTGGCTGGTTTACTAGGTAGTGGTGTTCCCTCTCTAGGGAAGAAACATGTTAAAGGTTGGGGAACAAAGATGAAAAAACAGAACACTTGACTTGTATGCAGGTGATTATTATATAAATGGCAGAAATGATTGCTTGATTGACTTCAAACACTATCTTAAATTTTACTGTGAAAGGGTCAGTTAAAAAGGAATAAAGGAACCAGCAATGCTTACGAAAGGATTGATATTCATTGAAAAATAATACTCTCTAAAAGGATTAAGGCAAAGCAAATTTATCTGATACGATTTGCCACAGTTCACATTTAGAGACATGTCCAATATTCTCTAAAATCAACTCGTCTTCATGAGTCCAAAAGCTTCTGATTGTTTATCTTAAATTAATTTTTTTGCCAGGTTCTCTTAGTAATAGTTACACAGTATACATTTTGTGCTGAAGTTTACTGAGATGTACTTTCTGGTTCTCAAATGCACAGTTCAACCATTCCCAACACTTCAGATGACTCCATGCCAAAGAAAAAGCTATCATCAATATTATGTTTATGAAGCTTCAAGTGTCATTATTTGTGTTCAGCCTCCTTTCATAGCATTGAAATGAAAATCAGATAATTTTTATTATGACATTATATAGGTAAAATGTTGTAATAGAAGGTTATATTGCTATATACAACAATAACATAAAACTCCCCTAGTTTTTGAAATGTGGCATATTGTTTACTTCCCTTAAAATACAAAAAAGAAGTATATATTGCCAAACATAAATTATACAAGCATGACATTTTCAAATGTGTGACTTATTTAGCACATCTCAAATGTGAATTTGAGTGGGTGGCATGGTGGCAAATAGGCAAATAGAATTTTCCAAGAAAAAAAGAAATGCGTGGGCAACTTTGACTCCATTCAGTCTGTTTTTGATGGGGGAAATTTATTACTGAGAAAAATTGGTTCTTAAACTTAAGTACATGATAGAAAGAACACCATTTATCCTTTTAACTAGACCTTTAAATATACTTACAGGCTCATTCAAAAGAATAAATGTATTCATGAAATATACATAGAGATGTCTAGAGGCCAGATATTGGAATTCATGAGCAGCTGCATCAGTAAAAGCCTGGCAGGGTGGTCCCACAGAAGGGTCATCCAGATATGAAGTCAAAGGGTTTTCTAGTCAGGGTCTGGTAACTGAGGCAGGAAATAGTGTACTGAACCATCAAGCTCTGAACATCATTCCCTAATTTCATGTCAAAAGTGGACATAAACAGCTATGTTCTTCTAACCTGTTAAGTATAATCTTGAGGGCTGAGGGAGATACAGCCAGATACATAGCTGATACAACTGATGACGACCCCATCTCCAAAGTAGGCCCATAACTCTAACTGTTCTTATTATAAATTAAGCAGTGTACAATCTCCCCCTACTCACAGTAGTAAAAACCATAGTTATAATCACCAATAGTAATTCATTTCTTCCGTATATCGCATACCTCCTGGCACCAAATCTACTGCAGGACACAAAGTAGTATTTTAAGTCCCCAAGGTCACTGATGAGCAAGGCAGGATTCATAAAAGATAAAGTGACTTGATTCACAGCAAACAATGGATGGGTGTATGTGGGAGTAGTAGAAGGGTAGGAAGGATTGGAATTAAGAGTCAGGTCCATCTGGGTTCAATCTCTAAGTTCACTGTCACGACTCTGCTTGATTCTATAGAGGAGTCAACCATGGTTTCCTTTGTTCCTGTCGCTCGTGCTGTGAATTT